CAGATACATGTTTTGGATTCTTTTGGAGAAAATATGTTACAATGGCAAGATCTCGATTACACGGTATGACTTAATAATTGATTGTATACAAATACATAATATTTTTTTAAAATTTGTTAATATCCTTTTCTAAAACTTGGTGTTCTGGTCACAGCAGTTAATAGGAATGGAAAGATTAATAAAGCATGCAACAAAGCATAGTCAGCTGAACCAAAACAAATGGGAAAAGGGTATCGGAGAGGCATCTTGGCCAAAAATACATAAAATCATCGAAAAAATACAGACAGATGGGTAAAGGATCATCTAACTTGTTGTGTATATGACATTGTTGTACCAGCAACGGTACCTTTATCACTTATATTTAAATTTTTCAATATTGTACAGTTTAAGTTGTGGTTTATGGATGATTAATTTCATGGAGTATTGGACTGGAGCTTCTTTATCTCACCATGTGACCCAGGTAATTTCATAGGAATATTTCTAAAAATAATCATTTTTTTGGACTTGTTAATATATCAGGACTTACTCATATTTTCAGGATGAGATAAGTAACTTTACCGTGCACAGCTATCAAATTCACTGAGGATGGATTTTTTATGGAGCATTCTTAAGAGCCATGCAAACGAATATTTTGACAACTTTCCTGAAGATCTTCAAGTCATGATTAAGGACTTAGACAGAATGTAACTTAAATGGTTATATGAGAAAAAACTTTACTATGACTTTTTAGTTTTTTGGATTGTATACATGCTCAAAGATATTGTGTAAAAGTTGAACTATGAAAAAAAAATGATTGTTTTTATGGACGTCTTCAAGATAAATCCGTTGCGTTAGCACTGGCATTATACAGTTTTTAAAATTTCCAAAGGAGCTGTAACATCAACCTTTCTGGATTGTTATCTCTGAATCACCTTTTAGGATAGATGTAGTGGAAGATAATAAGAGACTCTTTTCCCACGAGTGGAACTGACTACGGAAATTTCCATGTTTCTTCCGGATTCTCATTCTAAAGAAACCAAACAAAAGTAAACCAGAATGGTTCTCATCAATTATTTGTCCACCAAATAGTTCGGCGAGATAGAGTGCAGATTAAGGTCCGTGGTTTGTTGGATTCGGCTCCAGGTCCTTAAGCTTGTCTGTTTCTTGACTTGGCCTGGAAAGAACTCCTCGCCCCGCTGAAGAAGTTGTTATATATGCGTAAAATAAATGGAGAGAGTGAATCATCAAAACGCAAGACTGATGTGCCATGTCGCATGGCTTGACCAGAGAGTGGGAGCAGGATATCACTATCAGATTGTGGATTGACCAGGAGTGTCCTATCTTCGGTCTTCCCTGTCCCTTCCATCCCGAGCATACCAGCGCTGGAGGCACCAGTTAAGTCTCAAGATCAAGGCGAAGTCTCTTGTAGATGAGAGGATATATAAGGGAGAGTCAGTTTGGTCTTTCCATGAGGTTTCTATCGTTTTTTTCTTTCTTTTTAATTGTTTAATTGATCTCTCACCACTTAGTATACATCTTCTAAAGTGAGTGTAAACGATCGATTCGATTTCAAAAAGTGAGGATAAATAAAAACATAAAATGGCAAAAGGAGGGGCAGTAAAATTATAATTGAATCTCATATAGGAAGGACAAAAACACGAATTCCCCTTACAGTTTCTATGAGCAAAGTTACTTCTTTGAACAACAAAAGTTCAAAATATCGAAGTTACATTGTAGAAACAAGGTTTAAAAGTTTAGGAAAGTTTGAGGGCACTTTGATGTATGTGATGCTATAGAAAGCATGTTTCCATTTTTATAAATGAAGTGGGTTTAGTTTTTTTTCATTATTATTTTAGGGTATGTCCCTCTTAGCCTGAAAGATAGAGCTCTCTAGTTAGATTTTCTTATATTACACCGGCTGCTGCCACCATTCTTAGTTCGCCACAACAAGTTGGATAATTGATCATTATAGATATCATCGGTAGAGTTTAGACACTTCTATTCCATCCCTCTTTCACCAAGGGGATGGCAAAAGTTTAATAGAGGTATTCTATGCTTACCTGGATTCACTGATCTTATATGCGAATTTAGACAAAGCTTAATTCAGAACGATTGAAGGAATAATAAGGAGTCCTCGTAAATCTCCTCAGGAATTAAGCAAAACAAATAAAAGTATATGCTGCTAATTGCAGTGGAACAATAAGGGGGAAAATCTGCATGCCTAATAATAATGGGATCAGATTTTAGCCATGCATTTAGTATGATCCGTTCCTATATTTTTAGTCATACAATGGCGTTGCAATGACTACAGGAATGTTTAGATCCATTCGTTCCAGTTGCATCAGGGATGCAATTCTTTTGGTGCAATTGCACAGAGTACCGAAAAGGAGACAGAAGACATAAAAGACAGGCAGCCCAATTACTGAGAATCCTTGCCACCTCTGTGATGCCGTGAAGAAAGAGAAGACAAAACGAAGTTTTGATGGTAAATCTTTTTGATCATCCCCTTTCTTGTGGCAACTGGCAAGTCGCAATCGAGCCTAACCGAATGCAAGCATCATGGCCAGCGAGCAAGCCACGCGCAAATTAGACTGTATAAGCAGGCCTGCTCGTCCCTCACCGATCATGGCATACGTTAGCATCAGCCGGAAGGGGGGTGGAAACGAGGTGGCAAGGCAGTGCACGGAGCTGTCTGATTTGGAGGCCAAGGCTGTGGACAACTGCACGCATGCGTGATGGGAATGGGAGCAATACTGCACCTGGACAGCCGAGCACAAAGGTTTGGAGAAGTTGATCTGATCGATGTTGAGCTGCTTGTTTGGTGCGGGTCTGTTTCAGGCAGGGGCGCATCACCTAGCCTAGCTCTCAGGCCTCAGGATCGGATGTGCTGTCAATTGTTGCAGGAATATTTGTATTTCACATTCTGTTTGGATTCTGCTAATTTTAGCATGCTAATTCTTAGCACATGCTAACAAGTAACAACCTCGGCCTTGCTAATTTGTACCAGTAGCTAGCGCACCTTTTTTATCACTGACCAAACATGTGAAGTACCGGGCCTCCAAGAGTCTCAAAGGCGTTGAAGAACGACACAAGCCATGCCATGGGTGCTGTGGAGGTGCTGGCGAAAGCCTTGTCGGTGATCTTACCGGTAGAACCGACGTATTCGGGCGCCGTTTTCCTTCCTCGAGGTGTTGTCATTGCACTCCATAGCCTTATGTTTACTGATCTCTAGGTGAAAACTTTGCCTCGGTAAGGTGGGTGGCATCGGCGACCCTGGTCGTTTTTCTCCTTGGAGGTGTGATCTTGGAAGCCCGTCGTCATGCAAAGTCGACCGCAAGTTTGGATGGCACAGTCGAATGAGGATAGGGACTTAGTCTCATCCCTTTGTTTGAGACATGTGAAGGGGAGAGTTGCTCCTACTCAAGGACATAATAGATTGAAAGCAAGGAAGGACGGAGGAAAAGTTCTGAAGTTTTGCCTATCTAGGCTTTTTCTTAGTCCTTAAGCTCTCTCTTTCTTGTTGTTTTATATATGCTCTTATAGTTTTGAGGCTTTGAGACTAAGAGCTCGTGTAACTTTTGGCTATATATATCGCACGCGAATATAGAGACCGGATTTTATATCCTTTATTAAAGAAACAAGCCATGCCAAGGGCCTTCGATCATCCTAACATCCTGTTCTTTCTCCAGGGTGCTGTATGGAAGATCGGTCCTAGACGAGAGGTGCAGCTTGAGTTCATCACCCTGTTCGCTTAGACTTGTTTGATTTATAAGTTGTACTTTTTCAGTCAACGAATAATATTTTTCTATAACACCAAATCAGCCAACGGTATTTTCAGCCATGACTTATCAGCCAAACAAACACAAACGAACAGGGCGCATGAACCAAGGGTCTGAAGGAGTTTCAGTCAGTGGAGATTGCCAGAGAGATGTATATTCAGGGACTGACAAAATATGGAACTCCGATCGTACGTTTTATTCTTTTTCTGATAGCAAAATATTGTAGTAACATCACATCGCCCTTTTAGGACCATCCGGAAGGTAAAGATTCTCGTCATGTCGCCCCCCTAGTGGAGTCCGGCGCACAAATGTGAACGGGTTCCATTTTGATTCGTGCGTTCACACGCACAAGCCTAGCTTAGTTCACTGTCCCCTCCGATCTACACTGAATGGAACGATAGATGAACGCGATTGCGTAAATTTGACATGATCGGATATTGCAACGCAAGCTCTGATTCAAGTAGCGATAGGATTTGTCCTTGGTACTGAGTAATTCCCAAGGTTCTGATGCTTTGTTGAACAACATTTTTCACGCTTAGAGAAGATGAAGAATTCTGACATCGATCGCCGGCGCCAAGATCTTGGCAGTTAGAGGAGAGTAAATCTTGGAATGAGCAAGACAGCAAATTGGAGCACTGAGAGACGAGCTGTGTGTAGCGTAACTAATCTTGGTATGCAAATATACCATATATTATCAATAAGGCTCCGTTTGGCAGGGTTTCTCCAGCGGCTTCAGTAGCTGTTTGGAGCCGTTTTCTACCAAACGGGGTAAAATAAAACGGCTTCACCGATGAAGCCCTTAAAAACGTGCTCTCACAGAGCTTTGGGGTGGGAAGGAGCCAAAAATAGTGGCTTCTCCCGGCTCCTCCTCCAGGCCCCTAAAAACATGCTCTCACAGGGAAGCCATTTTGCCAAACGGTTTACCAAAACCGCTTCAGCTCCATCGGTGAAGCTGTTCGTGGAGCTGAAGACAAAAAAAAAAAAAAAAATGACTTCACTAGTAAATTTGCTAACAAATCTAGTGCGCTAACATATGCTACTACAATCTCTCTGCAATATTTTTTCCATCCAAAAAAGAAGAAGCAACAGCTCCGCGCCGCGATTCCGGTGTGCCAGCAGGCCGCCCGCCGCACAGAACCGCGCGCCTTCGTCCATGACCCCGGGAGAGCCCGGTCGAGGAGAGGCGAAGAGACGAGGCGCCGGCGTCGGCGCCTCGCCGCGACGGATGGTCTGGTGGTCATCTCATCTGGAGGAAGTCCGGGCGGTCGGTGCGGCGCGCGCGGACGTGGCGACCCGCACGGGCGCGCGGCGGCCGGTCCCGGACCCGCCGCAGCACCGGCACGGCGTCCGGCGCGTGCCGGCGCACGCCCCGCACCCGGACCGGCCGTTCTTCTTCCCGCGGGCCGCCCCGGCGGCGTCGGACCAGCGCGCGCACAGGCGGCACTCCTCCTTGCCCGACCCGCCGCACGCCTCGCAGCGCGGGGCGCCCCACCGCAGCGCCGGGCCGCCGCCCCCGGGCCTCCACTGCGCGGCGCCCTCGGAGGAAGATGAGGAGGACCTGTTGGCCATGGCGACGCCCGCCAGCATCCCGAGCCCCGCCGACGCCACCGCGATCGCCGCCACCATACTGACGGATTAGACCGGGCGGTGGTTTCTTCTTGGCGCGCCTGGGCGGGCTCTTGCGTTCCTGTGCTTGCGCTATGGCTTCTCCCTGCTCTGGCTCTGCGGTTGAGTGGGGAGGACCTGGTCGACTCGGTGAGCCGGCCGGCGAGGAATTTTATAGAGCCCGAGCGCGAGTCACCCGGCCGACGACCCGTCAAGGCGAGGCAGCTGCTGCTGCCGGTCGCGGCCGGGTGGTGGGTGGCCTTTGGCTGCTAGTGGCCCAGTGGGGGAGGTCAGTTGGTGGCGCTGTCGCTTTCCCAGTTGCTTGCCCTGCCACTGCCACCTTGATCGATCGCCTGCCCTCTCGGCTCTCGCTCTCCGTGTGGTGGCGGTGGCCCCACTGCTACGATCGAGAGGACTGGCTCACTGGCATTACGATTTGGCCGACCGGCAAGTCTGTTTGTTTGGCTGGTTCGTATCGTTGCTGGTTCGTGAAGAAGTATTGTTGGTTGGTTGGTGTGAGAGAAAAATACTGTTTTGGCTGGAAATTTACGATCGTTTACGACAAGCCACAGCTAAACAAACAGGCAGACGCAAGTTACTGTCTGTTCGGCACCATAGAAAAATGGCTGATGCTGATATTGATATTAATTTATTATTAGAGAAAAATATTGTTATTTTGTTGAAATGATACGGCTGATAAGTTCAAGTGAACAGGGCCACCATTTCTATGCAACTACCGCTCGTACTTACTCCGCAAGGCATAACACAAATGGTATCTGTACCCACGAGTGTCCCTCTAAACACGTAACTGTTTATGGCTTTGTCGTCGAATTAAATGCGAACACACATGTAGGCAATTGACACGATCAAAATAAATGTTTTAGCGGTGCAATTTGAGATGAACGGATATGAATTGTCTAGATATGCGTTTAGACGAGTTCATTGGCAATTAATAACAAACCTACACGTGCCATGTCGGAGTGGTGTGTGTTTTTTTTGGGTGTCTTACTTTCTAGGTAATCTCTGGATTACGTGGAAGGGCCGTAACCGGTTTGACTTTGCTCTTTCTTAATGAAATACATGCTACAAAGACATGTTTGCGGAAAAACAAACCTTTATGTGCGATTGCCATACATGTTGTTGGAGCATGTCAAATTATGGAACTATGGCACTTCAAAAGTATTCTGTGAAACAATAGTAGTATCGTTATGCTGCTTATGCATATTCACTCATCACTACATGTCTTCTAAAACCATGTAGTAAACGTTAAGGAGATATTTCATTTTGGAACAAGTAGATATATGCAGGCATTCAGGGGGGGTGTGATGCTATCAATTTCTTTCTCTACTTTTGACTGCAGTGGGGTGGTGGGCTATCTGTGGTGTCATTATTTTCCTTCCAAGCAGCGTGTGCAAGTGGAATGCCCCTACTTAGACGGAAGAATAATGACGGTGACAAGAATACAGAAAAACAATTTGAAGGGCCTTTAATTTTGCTTAGGATGTAAAGCCCTCTACCATAATTTTGTTGCGGGCCATATGCAGTTATAATTATACTATATTATCCCGACGACCACAGAGAAGTCTTCGATTTTTTCCAGTCCTCCCGTCGCGTAGAAGCTTCTCACGGCCTTTTAAAATAAATAAACAGCCTGTTCGTTTGGCCGTGGCTTATTGTAAAGGATCGTAAATTTTTAGTTGGAATAGTATTTCTCTCTCACATAAATCAGCCAGCGATACTTCTTCACGAACCAGCAACGATACGAACCAGCCAACCGAACAGGCTAAAAAGTGATTAAAGGCATGCTGTTGTTTAATTAAGCTCAACTTGACAGCAGATCTGGCCTGGCGGTGCATCCAGAAGAAGAAAAAGAGATCTTGACAGCGACGGCGGCTCACGTGCCCCTCCGTTGAATTGAAGGTTGAACGAACCACCACACACATGACACACCTGCGCCGCTGCCACCAGCCTGCTGCCTGCCTTGCCTTGCTTGGAACTCTTCTCCACTTTCTCCGGCGAACGGTCGTCAGATCAGAATATCGGATCAGCTGCATGATTATATAAAATGCACTCCTACACGTCATATATCTACTAGTTCAATACTACTGCTGCTCTAGATGCCTTTGACTGGGGTGTACTATTCTTATGCTGTGTTTGAGGATTTTGTTGGCCTTGACCCTTGGCCCTTGGGTCAGTACCCCAAGATGTCCTCCGCATCATCGTGAACGCCGCGTGGTGTATTGTGGGCGACTGAAGAATTCACAGTTGGTGAGGTAACCGCAGCAACCAGCAAGTAGATGGCTGAGGCCACCGCGCGCCCAGGGCTAGCTTGCCTTCGCCGGCGGGCGGCGGCAGCCAGGGGGGTCCGCTACGCCGACTGGATCGATTCCCCGCGGAAGCTGCAGGTCGGCCATCGGCGTGGGCTGCCTGCCTGCCGCCAGTCGCCTTCGGAATAATGCAACAACTGCCTGGCATGCATGTCGGCAAGTGGATCCGGAAAGGCAGGGGTGGCCGACTAGCTAGCGCCCGTATTCCGGCACGAGGTGGTGCCGACCGCTGCCATGTCGAGCATGCCAGCATGCATCAGCGCCGGGTCGGCTATGGTTGGCAGGATTGCTATCCTTTGGTGGGGTCGTGTGTTGTTTACGATTGGCTTCATAGAGAGGCAGGGATAGATTCACAACTCGATTCCTGTCTAGTGCGCGCTCGGGTGTTTTCAAAGGTGGCTGACACCCGAGTGTTGATGGGCAACCGGACACTCGATTGGGATAAAACAGGAGAATTGAGTGTTTCTAATTCGATCAACACTCGATTGCTGGTGAGCTGTTTAATCTTCTGCCTTTTGTAATCAAAACCATGGGATCATATGCCGTGTCTTTTTTTAATCAGTTGTTTTTACTATTCGGAAGCATTCCAATGACGGATGGTAGTGCACTAATTGCGGGCGTTTTCATTTCTTGTTCCTCTGTGACGTAAGGGGCTGTTTGGAATGCGGAAATTTCACGGAAACCTCGCATTAATTTTACATGAATCAGTTCAAGTTCACAGAAAAAACACAGGAACAGAAAATTTTTCATGTAATCCAAACAGGCCCTAAATAGTCGTGAATCCATCGTGCCCGTGACAACCATGAAATTGTTTCTTGGGGACCGGCCATAAATTCGAGCCCTGAGAAAGGCTGGAACACTCAAGTGCACTATAGCTTTATCGAAAAAAAGGAACTTGCTAAAATTTAGGTGCCTCGATTTTAGTTTCATTTCATATTTTGTTAATTGCAATTTCATATGGTCTGGTCGGCGGCAGCAATATTGACCAGACTTGTATCCTTCTGGCCAATCACGGCCACTATCCCGATGGTGATTGCGGTCGTCGTAGCGGCGGTCATTGTGGCGCCGGTCGTCGGGGCGATCGTCGCTGCGTTGAGTTGGGCGATGAGGGCCCGCATCCTCGTTAAAGCGCACTTCGGCTTCTTCGGCGTCGGCATACTGGTTGGTGGTCGTAATCGTCTTGCCAATCCCCGTGGGCGGCTTGCGGTTGAACATGGAGCGAAGATCGCGGTGATGGAGTCCTCGAATGAAGGCCGTGATGACCTCAGCTTGCGTGATGTTGGAAATAGAATTCCTCATCTCGGAAAGCGTCTGATGTAGCTATGGAGGAGCTTGGACAGCTTCTGATAGATGCGGTTCAAATCATGCTTGGTGTCCGGCCGAATACACGTAGCCATGTAGTTGTCAGTGAAAACCTTCTTCAGTTCTTCCCAGAATCCGATGGAGTCTGGGGCAAGGCTCGTGAACCAGTTCATGGCGGTTGGCGTGAGCATGACAGGAAGATAGTTCGTCATGACACTGGTATCTCCTCCGGTGGCACGCACAGCAATGGCGTAAGCCTGTAGCCACTGTGTGGGGTTCATCCTTCCCTCGTAGGGCTCAACCCTAGTGATTTTGAAACCATAGGGCTACTAGAGTGTTCGGAGTGCCCTCGTGAATGCCGGGGGCCCTTCGGGCTTATCGGCGCCGTGATCTGCAGCATTGGCAGCGTTGAGCGGCTTGAGAGCTGAGTCCGGGTTACCGAACTCTTGCTCATACTCTTGACGGCGGCGTACTTCTTTTTCATGGCGACCAAAGCGGCGCTCGTCGATACGTTATCGTGCATCTCGAAGATTATTGAGGTGCACTCGGACGTCTTGGTCGACCTCCTGGTCGTGTTCGCGAAGGTGTTCAATGCGGTTGCCCCTTGCTCCCCCCTAGAGGGGTTGTCTGTCGTCGCGGTGCTTGTCGGTGAAACGACTTGGGCGGCGATCAGATCTTGGCGCGGCTGATCGGCGAATCGAGCTTGTGGAGTATGAAGGTCTCTGATCCTGGCAGATCTCGTTGACCTAGCAATGCGCCGCTTTAAGCATGGCGGCGACCTTGGCAACCTCTGGTGTCTGCGAGAGCCGAGCAAGCTCATTGGCGGCCATGGCCAGGTTGGCGCTTGGGGTCTTGTAGACATCGTGTCCGTCAACATGGACAAATTCGTCGTCGAGGTTGCGGTGGAGTTGGTGTGGCCTTCCTTGCAAGTGAAGCTGAGCCTCGACCATCGCAAGGGTAGCCTCGTTTGCTCGGTGCTACGCACGATTGACGTTCCTGTTGACGTGGGCGGTCCTCAGTTTCCCCTTCCCGCGGGGGGCTATCGACGCTGACGTTGAAGATTGCGCCACCATGGAAAGGAGGGAGAGGAAGTTGTTCGGTGGTGGTCTCGGTGATAGTCTCCATAGAGCCCTGGGACTCGGAGTCTGGATTCTCCTCCAAGATGGTTTGGAGGGATGCTCCAGGGCATCGGCTGACGTGTAGCATGTTGATAGCCGGCGGGAGCTGATCGGCGATCTGGTCAGCGAGAGGATGGACATCTCCAACCTGGTCGGCGAATTTGCCCCGTAGGGCCTCTTGATAAGTGGCGGCGACGTTGGTGAGCCCGAAGGGTAGCGCCACAACCCCTGGAGTTTCCCGAGCAGCCTCCGATAAATCTAGATCGGAGGGTGG